TTGTGAAAAGGAGGTATTTGTTTGTTGCCATATTTCTATTTTTATTTCGGGAGTTTCTATCTATTTTTGTAGCTATAACAGAAGTTCTAATCAGAAGCTAAGTTAATGACCAACAACCGTAATATTTAGTAAACTGGTTCAATGAATGATCGCAATGCCTTCATATTATGACAGCTAACTTCCCATTCAATACCATACAAGGCAACTATCTAGAATAGGATGAAGTGACACGAATTCTACATCATAATATTTTTGGAATAGCTACACATGCTTTGCACATGCCATACCATAAATTGATTTAGCATATATACAGCACAATAAAATATGTAAAATTTGTATCACCTCTTCATCACGGTAATATGGAAATGTAATTATTTCATGTAATTTTCATATTTTATTGATATGTAATTTACATATATACAGCAAAATAACTTCACATTATGAGAGATACCAAGTTAAAATATGATACTATTATTTATTAACATCTTAAGAACAAAATAACTTCACATTATGAGAGATACCAAGTTAAAATATGATACTATTATTTATTAACATCTTAAGAACACTTTACGCATGAGCACAACTTTTTTATAAGTTAAAATATGATACTATTATTTATTAACATCTTAAGAACACTTTACGCATGAGCACAACTTTTTTATATGTCACAACAAACAATTAATCAACCATCATCAGTGAACATCCAATATAAATATGAATATTCCAAGTAAACAATATGAAGAAACATTATTGATTAACAAGCTAATGACAACACCTAAAATAATCTTAAGACCTCTACTCAATTAGTGAATTTTTACTCTAAAATTTGCGTTGAAAAGCAACCAGCACTGTCAGCAATCCATAGTATAACTATATAATTCTAAAAGATAATCTATATACACTATTTTATATTAAACAATTATTTTAAAGATTTGCTAGAGTGCTTTGATTGCATATGTATATATGAATAAATTGTTCCATACAGTTACTTATATTCCATTCATTTTGCATGTGTTTTATTTCAACAGACTAGACCAGAGATGACTTTTGATGGAGGTTTGAACTATGTTCTTAATATCTAAAATGTTTCCTTCAATTCTAAAATGTAATTATTAATAAATTTTAATATAAATTTATGTTCTTAATATCTAAAATGTTTCCTTCAATTCTAAAATGTAATTATTAATAAATTTTAATATAAATTTACAGATGGAGAGACCTTAAGAAAACGAAAGCGGAACAATTACTTCAAAGATTATTATACCAATCTCACTCAAGAAGAGCAAAATTCTTATATAAATAGATCCATTGAAAATAGGAGTGAATCAAGTCTCAGTGCCTCGAATGATCATCATAGTCCCGCTAAATGACGAGTCAAGTGATTACTTCATGCTACGCAATCAGAATATCAATTTCAAGGTATATTGAACATACTAAAATTATATAAAACTCATAGTCTACAAAATTTAATACTGACCGCTTAATTTATTTTATAGGAAACACATTCTATAATCCTTAATGCTTAGAGTTACATCAAATGAAAGTAGTCCCGCACTGTATTCATTGTGGAGCAAAGAAATTTGAACATGAAGTGCCAACATTTCGCTGCGATAATGGCCGAATCAAATTGGCTTCAACGCATGTCCATCCAACTCTTTACTCATTGTTCACGACCAACACTCCAAAAGCAATAGAGTTTCGTAAAAATATACGAAAATACAATAGTCTATCCTCATTCACCTCATTTGGAGCTACTATTGATAAAAGTTTGGCATCATCGACGAACGGTGTTTATACATTTCGAGCACAAGGGCAAATTTACCACCATTTATCGGGTTTGATACCAAGCATAGATAAACCCATTTTTTTCCAATTGTACTTTCATGATTATGATAATGAGCTTCACAATAGGATGAAAAATTGCAAAATAACATAATTGATGAGGAGGTTATGAAAATTGTGATGGAAATTTTGAAAGATAATCCATATGCTACAGTCCTTCGTTCATTGAGAGATCTTGAATCATTCAAAGATATCCATGTTTGTATTGCTACAAATACCAACATTGATCAACGGATCTATAATACACCAACATCCAATGAAGTTGCTGCCATATGGATTGAAGGGAATAATTCAAATGTTCCATTTGCAAGGGAGATTGTGATTCATGAACACTCTGATCAAAGACATTATGTGAAGCATTATTATGGTTGCTATGATCCATTGCAATACCCGCTTTTATTTTCGAAAGGTGAATCCGGATGGCATCAAAATATCATAACAATTGATTGCTCCATCTCAAAACATAACAATAATTCAAGTCAATTGCGATTCTCAACGGTACAAGAACTATTACAACAAGAACAGACAGGTAAATTACTCATAAATATACTTATTTTAACATTTGTGGCCAATAATGTTTCTTCATCTATTAAATGTTAATAAATTTTTTCCATATAGGTGTCACTATGCCAAAACAATCTCATGTTTCATGCAGAGAATATTACTGCTACAAGTTACAAATAAGAGAATCAGAACTATCTGTGTTGTTGCTTGCTGGAAAATTGTTACAACAATTTGTAGTAGACATGTATATCAAACTTGAGACAACTAAACTTGATTACTTTCAGAACAAACAATCTGAAATAAGAGCTGAAGTGTATCAAGGAATAGTGGATAGTCTAACCACCGGTGAAACTCGAGGTGATCAAGTTGGGCAAAGGGTTATCTTACCTGCATCTTTCATTAGAGGACCAAGAGACATGCGGCGTTGGTATATGGATGCAATGGCTTTGGTTCAGAGGTTTGGTAAACCAGATATTTTTATTACGATGACTTGTAATCCGGATTGGAAAGAAATAAAGACGAACTTCTAATGGGACAAGTTGCTCAAGACAGACCTGATTTGACATCACGTGTATTCTGTTCAAAACTTGAAGACCTAAAAGATCAACTATTCAAAAAGAATGTCTTAGGAAGAGTTGGAGCGCATGTGTACGTGATTGAATTTCAAAAAAGAGGGCTTCCACATGCTCATATGTTGGTTATATTGAAAGAAGATTGCAAAATCTTAACTCCTGACCAGTTCAATAAATATATTTTAGCAGAAATCCCCTACTCATCCAAGACTTCATGAAATGGTTGTCAAACATATGATGCATGGTCCCTGTGGGAAACACTGCATGGACAGCCCTTGCATGGTTAATCAAGAATGTAGACATCATTATCCCCGATCTTTTTCCTCTAAGACAATAGTTGGTAAAGATTCATATCCAATTTACATGATGAGTAATAATGGTAGAAAAGTATGTGTGCGTCGAGCAGAGTTGAGCAACCAATGGGTTGTTCCTTATAATCCATATCTCCTTACCAGGTACAATCTTCATAATATCTTTAAAGTTTATTATTTATGAGAACATTTCAACAAAAAATATACTATGTGAGAAAATCTCTAAATATGATATCGTCATATCTTCTTAACAAGTACAATTGCCACATTAATGTTGAAGTTTGCTCAAGTGTAAAAGCGATCAAATATTTATATAAATATATATATAAAGGGCACGACAAGATCTCTATCTACCTTGCACACAATGAAGAGAAAAATAAGTTTGATGAAATAAAACATTTTCAAGATGGACGGTGGGGGTCAGCACAAGAAGCATTTTGGAGAATGTATGAATTCAAGATGAATGAAACTATTCCTCCAGTCATTAGTCTCCAGTTACATCTTTCAGATAAGCAATCAATTTGTTATTAGCAACATCGAGATCTTCATGATGTAATAGGTTCAGAGAGATCATCAAAAACTATGCTCACTGAATTCTTCACAAAATGCACAACAACTGAAAATACAAGGCAATTTCTATACGTCGAATTTCCTGAACACTACGTGTGGAATACCCAAGCAAAGATTTGGTCAGATCGGAAGCACAAACTTGTCATTGGTCGTATAAACACTGCAAACCCAAAAGAAGGAGAGAGATATTATTTACGTTTATTGTTAAATCATGTGAGGGGCCCTACTTCCTGGGAATCTCTTTTAACAGTTGATGGTATTGCATATAAGTCCTTCAAGGAAGCTGCACAAAAAAGAGGATTACTAGAAGCTGATAATAGTATTTCTGATTGTTTAGTTGAGGCCACTGCCTTCCAAATGCCTTATGCACTACGAAGATTATTTGCCATTAGTTTAGTTTATTGCCAACCATCAAATGTAAGAAAATTATGGAATGATCATTTTGAAGCGATGGCAGAAGATTTTAAGGGAGGATAGATGAATACATGCTACCAGCTCGTGTTGCATGGACATTAAAAAGATTAGTCTCTTCCTTGAGAGTATGGGTAAACATATTACAGATTATGATCTACCATTACTGATACATAATGATGTTGACCAATGTTAGACTTTACCAAGAGAAATTATTGATGAAAGGGAGATAGATATTCCATTTGAAGATTTTCATGCTCAATCAAAGTTAAACCCGAGGCAAAAACAAGCCTTCGATATCATGTTAGATAGAGTCAACAAAAAAAACCTGGAATATTTTTTGTGGATGGTCCAGGAGGAACAGGTAAAACTTTTCTTTATCGTGCATTGCTTGCAAATGTAAGATCAAGAAAGATGATAGCATTAGCAACATCGACATCAGGAGTGGCTGCAGCAATAATGCCAGAAGGGCGAACTGCACATTCACGATTCAAAATTCCAATTACTGCTAATGAAACTACAATGTGTAATATATCAAAGCAGGATGGAACATAAAAATTGATACGACTGGCATCACTTATAATATGGGATGAATCACCTATGGCAAAAAGATTTGCGATTGAGACTGTTGATAGAACATTGAGGGATGTAATGGGTGACAAAAGGATTTTTGGTGGAAAAGTAGTCGTGTTTGGAGGTGATTTTCGTCAAGTTCTACCAGTTGTTCCACGCGGCACTAGAGCAGAAACATTCAATGCAAGTCTTGTGAAATCATATCTCTGAGAAAAAAATGGAGAAATTATCTCTCACTATTAATATGAGAGCAAGAACTGATCAAGTATTTGGAGAGTTCAAATTATCTCTCACTATTAATATGAGAGCAAGAACTGATCAAGTATTTGGAGAGTTCTTATTGCGCGTGGGGAATGGAGAGGAACCCACAATAGATGAGAATTTGATACTTCTTCCACATGAAATGGTAATAGAATATGATAATGATGAAAACTCTGAAAAAAATTTGATTGATGCTATATTTCCATCATTACAAGCAAATTCATCATCTGCTGAATACATGACACAACGTGCTATTCTTTCAACAAGGAATGAGTATGTCGATGGACTTAATGAAAAATTAATTGCATTATTTCCTGGTGAAGCGAAAACATTCTTTAGCTTTGATGAAGCGGTAGATGACACAAATAATTATTACCAAGAAGAGTTCTTGAATACCTTAATGCCGAATGGACTCCTGCCTCACAAATTGATTCTTAAAAGAAATTGTCCAATCATGCCGTTACGTAATCTTGATCCATCTAATGGAATGTGCAATGGCACACGAATGATCTGTAGAGGATATGAATATAATGTTATCCATGTTGAAATCATAATTGGTCAACATTCTAGTCAAAATGTCATGATTTCGAGAATACCATTATCTCCAGCTGAAAATGAGGGTTATCCATTCCAATTTCGTAGAAAACAATTTCCAATCCGACTATGTTTTGCAATGACAATAAACAAAGCGCAAGGACAAACAATACCTTATGTTGGAGTTTATTTGCCACACCATGTATTCTCACATGGTCAATTATATGTTGCATTATCAAGGGGGATATCAATGAGAACAACTAAGGTATTAGTGAAAGTTGACCAAACAAGAAGAACAACAAAAACATACGCGAAAAATATTGTGTATCCAGAAGTATTATTGCCTCAAAGGTAAATCACCTCATCAAAATCATGACTCATTATTTTTTCATTCTATGATGCACATTTTGTACAAATTAACTTTCAAACAATTATTATCTAACACAATATTCTAATATGCAGCGAAGATGTGTATTAAAGTTGTTAACTATTTACAATGCAACGGACTATCTTTGATCTCAAAGGTAATTTTCCCAGTTATGTAACATTTATAGTTAGGTTTGATCCTCCAGAAGTTTATGATACCTGATCATGCTCGATTCAATTCTGTTTGCAGGTCATGGACTATAGCTATTATAGATCAAATTGCCTTGCTGCAGCCCGATTCCCCATGGCTCTCTACAGTTTGACAAAGATGCATCTTTTAAAGTTGATGAATGCTGCTAAAATTGAGCTCCTTTCTGTCTTATTTATATCAAACTTAAAGGAGATATGATTATGCTACATTAAGTGAACATATAATTAAATAATTTTGGTTACTTCATTTATTTTATGGTCTTTTCTGTCAATATCCTGGTTTTTTATATGAAAAATTAGTGTTTTTTATGATGCTATTTATAACCCTATAACATCTATTTATATCATAAATAATATATGTATTATCTATGACATCTTTCATGTATATGTCAAGTAGAAAAAAATTTAATCAATACAATAAAAACTATAGAGCTACATATAAACATGAAAGTATTTACACGTGCATCGCACGTGCACCGCACGTGCACCATATTAGTATTAATAAATGAGTAACTAGGAAGTTTGGTGGACATCAACTTAAGTTGATAGGAGTCTATATAATACAAATCTAACAGTTTGGTTTGGGCCCCACAGACAAGGCCGCCACCGAAACTCACTCTGCAGAGCTCGGAAAAGTCCTCGACGTCTACGAAGCCCATGTACGTGTTGTTGTGTTCCGGTTTGATCATGATATAGAAGTATTTTGTGGCTATGGAATGATAAAAGGAGTTATGTTGTGATTTGGAGTGATTAGTTATGGCTAATGCAGTACGATAATAATACATCATCTTCTTCCTTGTTAAGATTCTATTTTACCAAATGTCTATGAGAAAATCTAGGTCAATCGCTTTAAGCCATTGTACTGGCCAATTAATACCTAATTTCGCTGGGGTTGATACAAGATGTAAAGGTGAACTTTAGAAGTGTTTGCACTGAACCTCTCCAAACTTTTTTATTTTAATAAACCCCCTACACTTTGGGGATATTGCACTAAACTCCTCTGAAATTTACTTATTCTAATAAATCCTCTAACTTTTGGGGTGTTGCACTAAACCCTTTTGAACTTTTTTATTTTTTAAAGCTCTTGAACTTAGGGCTAATTGCATATACGGCACTAAGCTTTTTTTTTTTAACTAAATCTCACCTAATTTCAGAGACCACCGTCAACTATGGAAGTGTCTATTCATGTTTGAATTATTGGTTACTTAAAACAAATTTTAGTGAGCCCCCATAACTTGGGAAGTGTTGTATTAAACCCCTCACCCCCTCCCCCTGCCCCCTTTCCCGCCAACCCCAAACCTCCCAAAAAAAACCCCAACCCCCAACCTACCCACCAACAACCTGGGGGAAAAAACAAAAACAAAAACAAAAACACACACATCAACACATAGACACACACATATTTTTTAATCCTAAATCTAATCTTCAAACTTTTTTTATGACAAAAAAGATCAAAATATCTCCCCCCAGGCCACCACCCCACAACCTACCCAACAACAACCCGGAAAAAGAAAAAAACAAAACAAAAATAAAAACAAAAACAAAAGCAAGAACACACACGTCAACACACAGACACACATATTTTTATTTCTTAATCTTATCTTCAAACTTTTTTACGACAAAAAAGATCAAAATAACTCATCAATCTAAAAGAAATAACCCCAATATCATTTTCTATTAAAAGGGTGTTTTTAGTACAATAAAAAACTTTAGAGAGTATCTACCATAACCCCCGAAATTTAGGGCTTTTAGTGAATAATTTTTTTTAGAAAGGTTTAGTGCAACACCCCAAAAGTTAAGAGATTTATTTTAATAATAAAAACGTTAGAGGGTTTTAGTGCAATATCCCCAAAGTGTAGGGGGGTTTATTTTAATAAAAAAGTTCAGAGAGGTTCAGTGCAGATACCCCCAAACTTCACTTTTTATGTATTGTGTCAATCCCAGTGAAAATTGAGGTTGAATGTGAGGACCGCGAGCCTCGATTCATCTTCCTGAGTCCATCCCTGATCATTGTTGAAATTTTGATGAAGTTTGAGAAGAATTTGACAGAGATTGAAGATAGATTTTAAGAGAAAAAGTTAGAGAGAATTGAGAGAGAAAGAAAAGTGAGATAGTTGTAACTGGAAGAAGGAAACTTGTTATTATTCCACTTGTGTTCTTTTCCATCTTTACATCTTCCAATTTATACAATTTCAATTCAGAAGTTTGCTCTCATGCACCAACAGTGCTTGTGCACAACTGTAATAACAGAAAAAATAGCAAACAGCAGAAAAGACAGCAAACAATGAAAAACAGCAGACAACCACTACTTGCATTTATTACAAGTCCCGGAACTTTGAAAGTCTTGCATAATAGTCCCCAATCTTTGCGTATCAGTCCAAATTCTTGCATATCAGTCCAATCGCTTCCCAATCTCCAACTGCAAATCTTAGGTTCCCATCTTCAGCTTTTAGATTCTCATCCCCTGCCGCACTTGACCCACTTGACTGATGATGATCTTCAATTCTAGCTCCTGACAAATTCCCCCCACTTAAATTTGACCTTGCCTCAAGGTCAAATGAGGGAAATCTCTTAACCAAATCCCAATAGGATTCCCAGGTAGAATCTACCAAAGGCCTCTGTTTCTATTTGATTAAGACTTCAGAAACCAAATTATTTCCTTTTATGACTGATCTCCTGTTTAGAATTGCCTCAAGTTCATCAATGATTTCAGTCACATAGCTAGGAAAATCACTTTGAAGAACAATATCAGCACTCATCTTCTTTTTAAGTTAAGAGGTATGAAATACAGAATGGATCTTAGCCTATTCAGGGAGAGGTAATCTATAAGCCACTTCACCAATTTTTTCTAAAATCTGGTAAGGACCATAATATTTGGGAGAGAATGCAAGAAGATACACTGATCTTCCTGTAAGGCTGAAGCTTGAGAAAAACCCAATCACCCACACTAAAGCTCCGATAGCTCCTATGTGTATCTGCAAATTTCTTCATTTGTTCAATTGTTTTCTTTAGACTATCTTTCATGAACTGTAAGGCTATATCTCTAGAAAAGAGAACCTCATCCAATGTTTCAACCTTACAACTTCTAGGCACAAACCTAAGCAAAGAAGGAGGTGGTCTCCCATAAACTACCTCAAAAGGAGTAGTATGTGTAGATATTTTCCAGGTTGTATTAAACCAAAACTCAGAAAGAGGTAGCCATTTGCTCCACTCCTTAGGCTTATGGCAACAAAAACATCTCAAATAACCCTCCAAAGTTTTGTTTATGATTTCAGTTTGCCCATTCATTTGAGGATGATAAGCTGAACTGAATTTCAACTGACTTCCTTGTAACTTAAACAACTCTCTCCAAAAGTAGCTTGTAAATAAGGGGTCCCTATCGCTGACAATAGATTTAGGTATGCAATGTAGTTTGAAACCCCCTTCAAAAAACACTTGAGCTACTAATTGAGCAGTGTATGAATGTGGAAGTGAGAAAAAATTTGCATACTTGGATAGCCTGTCAACCACCACAAAAATAGCACTTTTATCTCTACTTTTTGGTAAATGAGTAATGAAATCCATGGATAGGTCCCTAAATATAATCTGGAATAGGTAGAGGTTGTAGGAGCCCTGGTAATAATATGTTTTCTCCCTTAGCTCTTTGACAAATGTGACAAGCTTGAACATGCCCCTGAAAATCCCTTTTCATTCCCTTCCAGTAAAAAGCCCTTCTCAGCCTCTGCAAGGTTCTAGTTGTTAGACCCTAGAGGGGGGTGGTCTTAAGCTAATCTAATATAATTTTATGATAATTAAAACTAATTAACAAGTTATCCTAGCAAGTATAAAATACAACAAGATATGTGAGCTAGGATAAGTGATATACACAAGGGTAAACAAAATAAATAAGATAATGGATGATATAAATAATGAGCAATGGACAATGACGACAAGAAAAATAAACATAAGAGAAGTGCGCCAAAGCAAACTCAAACACACGATATGATCACGGAGTTCGGACCTTCCGTCCTACGTCTCCGCTCCCCACTCCCGGGGAGAAATCCACTATCACAACCGGGTTTTCTACGTTTACCCGAATAACATTTACACCGCATAATACGGTTTTCTAGTTTACCGAAAACTCTACAACTAACACACTCTTGTAATCTCACTCTACACCCTCTTAAGTGTTGAACTAGACGTGTCTCCCTCAAGTGCTCGGATACAAACTCTCCCTAGGTTCGTCAACCGACGCCACTCCTCTTGGGACGATCCCCGACTCTCGCCACATACTTCTCTCGGTGTACAAGTATATTACAAAGTGAATTTCACAATAAGCATAATACAAAGAATGATTGTTCTCTAATATGGATGAGAACACAATGAAAACTCACACTCAATAGTTACAATTCTCACCAACCCAAATATACAATGTATGTAAATACAATAAGCTCAAGTGGGTGTGTGTAAACAATGAGTACCAACCCAAATATACAATGTATGTAAATACAATAAGCTCAAGTGGGTGTGTGTAAACAATGAGTGAAATCAAATCAACTAAACTCAATTGAAAATACTAGCTTAATGAAAATGATAAACAATAAAGAATTAATACAAAGCTAGTATTGAGTTTAGAAATTCTTCTCTGAAAAACAAGATGGAGAGATGGATTAAAATGAAGCCCAAGGAATGTAGATGATCTCCTCCACTTGTGTAAAACTTCTTCACAAACAAAACTCTTTTAAACAAACACTAAACAAACTTAAATCCTTGTTAAACTCTTGTTTAAAAACTTCTTGGGATTTTTTTTGAGAATTGAGATCAATGGGGTATTTATAGCCTCCTAAAACCTCAGTCAAAAAGCCCAACAGAAATGACCAAAAAATCAACAGAATCGAAAATCAGATTCTGTACAAAATGACCGTTGGAGTGAACGACGGTCGACCGTGAAAATCTCGCGGTAGACCGCGAGCCACTTTTGAGGCTCAGAAAATTCCAGAAACTTTGACGGTCGACCGTGGCAGTCGATTGTGGGAATTTTCGAGCTGACGGTCGACCGTGGCGATCGACCGTGAAAGTTGATGTTGGCTCCGCAAGTTAAAAACAAAGGCGTGATCGACCGTGGCGGTCGACCGCAAACTGATATATGAAAATGACAGTTTGAAAACAGTTTTTCTAATTTAAAACCCTGTTTAAAATATCAAATAAATTCTAAAAAAT